GTCGACTACGGTCCTGGCCCCAATAAGCATACATGGGGTGCCGCTCTTCTGTCGAAGTTTCCTATCCTCAACTCGACGCATCACCTTCTACCTAGTCCTGTCGGTGAACTGGCTCCTGCTATCCATGCGACGCTGGATGTCTATGGTCAGCTCGTCGATGTATTCGTCTTCCACTCCGGGCAAGAAGAGGATCCTGAAGACCGACGTCTGCAGTCACTTTATCTCGCTGACCTGATGGGTTCGACCCCTCGGCCAGCATTCTTACTCAGTTATTTGGTGACAAAACCAAAGGAGGGTAACTACAACACTTACGTGAGTGAGAAGTCGGGTATGAAAGATGTAGACCCGTCAGATTGGGACCGATGGTGCGAATACATCCTTTTCAAGAGACTTAAACGTGTGGGTTACGCGCGCGTGAGCCGCAGCTCGATTACCGATACGGAACTACAGGTTGCCAAGTTCAAGATCCCCGAGTCCAAAGAGGAGATCGAGAAACTGGATGCCCAGCCAGATAAGGAGCGTAATCGCCGAGTTAAGGAGGAGGAGGTCCCTGAAGGTTGGAGATTCCCCGCAATGTTCCGGGGTGACGGCGTGCGAGAACACAGATACCATGTGTTCAACGAGCCCAGGTATTTCAACTAGAGGGGCTGTATATTACATTGAGTAAGGGTTTGGGCAATACCACAACGGTACATCTCGATGCCGTATATGCTCTTCAAATTAATGGGAGGAGTTAATGGGATAGGCCAGATATGGATCATGAATAATGTACGGCGGTGATGTTCATGTGCTTAATTCTAGTGCACGCAATATATACTCTTTTTGTATGTATGTTGGCTGTATGATAGTCTCTCAGCAAAATATTCCATATTGAAAATGCTGATCTCTTTAGGCCGGTGCTCTAGGGTATTCCCCATTCATGTTCACGGAGCCGGTGATTCATGTGGTGGTGTCCATCCATAAGATGCATTTGTACGCAATTGTGTACTAGGTGCCTGAAGAGGAGTGTATGCATTGCTTTTTACGGGGTCAGCGCGTGGCATTTTGAATCAACAATGTCTCGATAATGTTTGCTATTCTTCTCCACAAACCTCTACGACCGATGGAATGGCTTGTATTCCTGCAAGATAACAAAGTTACAATGAAACTCAAGTGTCTTGACACAGACTTACCACGAAATCGGTCAGCTGCTGACCAACAAGGTCCGAAGAAAGAATTACCCTATCGTATCCATTCGTGGATGTATTCCTGCAAAAGAACCGTTGTCAAGCCTGCATTGTGTATGTACACAGACGAAAACTGCAGATTTCCGTGCCCACCCCGCAAAGAGATATCTCCGTCCCCACTCGGACCGCCGAAACTCCACAACGCCGCGGTCATCGTCGGGCATGTCCTGTCGCACGCTGGTGCGCAAGGTATGACCAAGAAAAATAGAGTATTTGTGCGATTCCGCAGGACGGACCAGAGCCGCCTGTGTGGTGAGTGCCGAGTTGGAGCAAAGACCGAAGGGGTCAAGAATCGTTCGTATTATACACATTATTCATGACGGCATAAAGACCTTGGCTTGACGTGGATAACTGATTGGCGGCCGACTGTACTTTTTTTTGTTTTTGAAATGGCAGGCGACCTTTGGAGGTAAAGAGGCTGGATTAGGAACAACGTCTGAGCATTGTTGTGAGCCAACGATGTATTGCATCACTATGATAGGTGCCTAGGTTAGTAGTTATTTCTTGAGTGGGAGACAAAGGGGTTTATATGGTAGATCTGAACATTGGACGAATAACTACCACTATACGAAAGCTGGCATTTTCATATAGTAAAATTCCGAGTTCATGCCCCTCGTAACTAGGAGTCAAGAAAGTTACCTACCTACCTACCTACCTACCTTAGGTAGATGCAATCATGGATCTGATTAATTAACGTACAATTCCCCAAATGACAAACTTAAAACCCCACAATCTAAGAAGCTCCCCCACAATCTCTCAATTCTCCGCGATCCAATACTGTTCCGTCATTTCCAATCCGAACTTAGCCGCTCGAAGACTTCATGGCTCACCCCTCCACCTTCAACAAGTTTGTGATTATTGACAAGCTTTGTGTGCCGCCGCCAGCCGATTATGAGCGCCTCGCCTAGACCCAGACCAGGGATGGAAGAAGTCAGCGAAGCATGAGAAGTGGGCGGGCATGATGGGCTAGATAGAAAAGAGGGTGGTCATGGGGCTGCTGTCGTCGTGTAGGTATGGATATGTATCGCTTTGTTTCTTGATAAGACGTATATAACTCCTCCGGAGCTTCCGCCTCTCTTGATCTGTTGTCTACCTCTTATTCTCACAGCTTCTTAGACACTCACCCTTTCTGAGTGCGGGACAGACAAGATGACGTTCAACTTAACACATCTGTTGGTTTACTTGGGATTGTTGGTTGGAGGACTAGCTCTCTATGTAAGTCAACACTGCCTACAGCTTCTATGATAAACAGACACTCATATTTGGCCAGGGCTTCGGCATTGTTGTTTACCGAGTCTTCTTTCACCCCCTAGCCAAATACCCAGGCCCATTCATCGCCAAGATCACAGATGGATACCAGCTCTACCATGCCTGGAAGGGCGACAGGCAGCTCGAGTTCTGGCGCATGCACCAAAAATATGGCCCAGTTGTCCGCTTTGGCCCCAACTCGCTTTGCTTCAACTCCAACAAGGCCCTCAAGGAGATCTACGGCTTCCGCACAAACGTCCGCAAGGCCGAATTCTACAATGCCTTTGTTCACCCTACCGCCAATACGCATAACACGCGCGATAAGGAGGTCCATGCCCGCAAGCGCCGTGTCATGTCTCAGGCCTTCTCCGAGAGCGCCATGAAGGAGATGCAGCGATACATCTTGGGTAACGTCCGTACTTTCTGCGAGCAGATTGGTATGTTGGAAGGCTCCGGAGAGGAGACCAAGGGCTGGACCAAGCCTCGAAAGATGAGCGACTGGTGCAATTACCTTGCTATGGATATTCTTGGTGATTTGTGCTTCGGCAAGGCTTTTCATATGCTTGAGAGCCCGACTAACCGCTTTGCCCTGGAGCTTGTTGAAGCTGCTACAACACGGCACCTTCTCGTAAGTGTACCTGCGAGCTTCCGAAATGGCAAAAGATGAAACTGACACTCACAGTGTGGAACCATGCCCATCGTGAACAAACTTAACCTGGACAAGATCCTCTTCCCTGGACTCGCTGCTGGTCGTGCTCGCTACATGGGCTATAGCAAGGGCCAACTTGCAGAGCGCACCAAGCTTGGTGAGGAGACAGATCGGCGCGATTTCTTCTACTATCTTCTCAAGGCCCGCGATCCGGAGACTGGCCAGGGCTTCAGCACTCCTGAGCTCTGGTCCGAGTCCAACCTACTGTAGGTGGCACCAGACAAACTCGAAACACTCCAACTAACAACTGAATAGTATCATTGCTGGATCCGACACCACATCGACCGCGATGGCTGCCACTCTCTTCTACCTTGTACGATGCCCTCGCGCTCTCGAGCGAGTCACCGAAGAAATCCGAAGCAAGTTCAACGATGTCGAGGAGATCTGCCAAGGCGCTACTCTCGCATCTTGCACCTACCTCCGAGCCTGTATCGATGAAGCTATGCGTCTCTCTCCATCCGTCGGTGGCATTCTTCCCCGTGAGGTTCTCTCTGGCGGTATCACCGTTGAAGGCCGTGCCATTCCCGAGGGCACCGTTATTGGCGTTCCCCATTATACCATCCACCATAACGAGTCCTACTACCCCTCGCCATATGAGTACGTCCCTGAGCGATGGCTCGTTGGTGCTCTCAACCCCCTCACTGGCGAGAAGACAACCGAGGACGAGGTTGCTCTGGCTGCCAGTGCATACTGCCCCTTTAGCATTGGGCCCCGTGGCTGTATCGGCAAGGGTCTCGCCTATGTCGAGATGACAAACACACTTGCCCGCACTATGTATCTTTATGATATGCGCAAGGCTATTGGTATCGTGGATCCTGCTGAGGGCAACCCCAAGAATGAATGGGGTCGACACCGACCAAGCGAGATGCAATTGGTTGATACATTTACGAGTGCTAAGAACGGACCCATGATTGAGTTCCGTAAGGCTGCGCATATCAAGGCGTGACTTCAAACGTATAAAAGTAGGAGAGAAATAGGAGTTCATGAAATGGATGTACAGGACATAAGATACAGACACCTACCAGTCACGGAGATGCTAATTTTGGATCCAGCAGGAGGAGAACGCAAAACTCATGATTGAACGGTCTATGAATACCTGGTTAAATGAACAAAAATCAACGTATTAGAATTGAAGCCATGTCTTTCGTTACGTTGCCGTGATAAATACCTATAATCAGAGCGGCTTAGAGGTACCTTGCATAAATAAAGTGACTAACCTTCGAGGGGAATCTCGTGGTGAGACATGTGGAATGAAGAAAGACCTTTGAATCTGGGGATATGCTGTAGAATTTGAATATATCAGCATAAATTCTGCTACATAATTATTCAGTGACAAAAGTATTGAGCTAAGTTAGCTACATAAGGTAAGGAGAGAAAGGGGCTTCTTAATGCATTTATCCCTTCTTCCACGTCTAAATGGATGGAACCTGAAGCTTAGTTACTTGCTCCGCGGGGGATGAGCAGAGCTTCAGTGAGCTTCAGACTCTAGCCCATGACGACCCACTAATTGAGCACCAGGTTGTGACAAGCGTTCGCAAAAACCTGATGGGCCCAACGAGGCTGGGGAAAGGCTGAGAATGCTTTCTATCCTTCTCTAAGCTTTCTCTGTTACACATTCTCTTTCTGTCCCTCAACTTCGCTTTTCTAGAAATTTGAAATAATCCGCCCGAATCCCGAAAACGATTGATACGTGACTGGAGTACCTATGTCATGAGGCAGTTTGGCACTTGGCTCATTTGAATCCTGGCGCGTCCAAGTTTCTACGGCCATAACTTGACTGGACCAACACGCAATTCCCGTTCAATTATCGTCAAAGGATGACTTTGTGTAAATTCTTTCAGCAGGGCAACTGCAAATTCGGCAGTACGTTTTATTATTTCGATTCTGTGGGCTGCGTTGCTCTCCTTCTGATCAAACTGACTTGTCTATAGATAGTTGCCGATTCGAACATGTAAACCCAAACAATCGAAATCAGCCCTCGAACCGCTTTGGAGCTCTTGGAGGAGGGAGCAATCAAAACCCAGCTGGTACGAACACGACAGACGTTGATATACGAGACAAGAACTGACGACTCAGCAGACAAATACAACATTACTATCGATACCATCGAAAAGGATTTGACGAACGAAGTTCCGCAATGGATCCTTTCAGCCTATGCGCCTGGGCGAGATGCTCCTGGTCAGCTCTTTGGCGGATATCCGCGCGAACAGAGCTTTGAAGAGCTGCGGCTACACTTCATGATGGGAAAAGCGTCGGGCAATGAACAGCAAGCTGTGAGCGTCCATTCAATCGGTCTCTACGCAACCGTCCAGACTGACCTAGATTCGACCTTAGCTTAACGAAGCACAAGAGTTATATGCTCAGGCGCAACAACAAATGCAGACCGCTCTACGCGACGTCAAAGGGGCAATTCAGTTTGTTGTAGGCGAAGAAAATAACCACCCGAATCGGCACGATATTTGCAAACAGGGAACGCAAGGAGCTCCCTTTGGCGAATTTCTCGTTGGGAAGCGACCCAAGTCGACAATCGCCGATACTGGCGTTCAGCCAACTCCTTTCGGGTCCAACAATAACAATGCTTCAAGTCCTTTTGGTGGAGGTGCATCGGCCGGTGGAAGTGCCTTTGGGCAGCCATCGACTCTCGGCGCGAAACCAAGCGCGTTTGGTGCGCCGTCCTTTGGTCAACCATCGCAGCCAGCTCAAGGAGGAGGTTCGGTCTTTGGCCAGCCATCACAACCTTCAGCGTTCGGACAACCGTCACAGTTGGGACAAACCGCCTCAGCATTCGGCAAGCCAGCGCAAACCTCAACTTTTGGCCAGCCGTCACAACCAGGGTCTGCTTTTGGCCAACCTTCAGCTTTAGGCGCAAAGCCCAATCCATTTGGCACCCCAGCCTTTGGACAACCTTCGCAACCAAGTGCACAAGGCAGTGTCTTCGGCCAACCGTCACAGCCAAATACGCAAGGCAGCGCATTCGGTCAACCGTCGCAGATAAATGCGCAGGGCAGTGCCTTTGGCCAAGCCAGCCAACTTGGACAGAAACCGAGTCCCTTCGGAGCACCCAGTGGAACGAATAACAGCTCTAGCCCATTCGGTGCCGTCGCAAAGAATAACAGTGCCCCTGCAGCGAACCCCTTTGGTGCTCCAGTTGGTAGCGCAACAACCAGTCAGCCTGCCAATGCTTTCGGATCCAACAGTAATAACCAGAATAATGCCCCGGCGAATCCGTTTGGACAGCCCTCACAGCCTGCTCAGGGAAGCTCACCATTTGGCCAACCTTCAAATGCTGCCGCACCGGCAACGTCAACCCCATTCGGTGCATCTACCGCGACCCCGAATCAACCCACAAACAGTCCATTTGGCCAGCCTTCACAGACTCAGTCGAATGGCTTTGCATCGCAGAATAACCCACCACCAGCGAGCAATCCATTTGGTCAACCCTCGCAGCAGAAACCAGCAAATCCTTTTGGCCAACCCTCCAACGCTGCACCAGCTGCTGCGAACCCGTTTGCTACAACACAGGCTCAAAAATCCACAGCGGCGGCGGCGGCAGCAGCAGCAGCCACTTCGACAGGCCCGTATCCACCGAACAGCAGTAGACAACACCCACCAATTGAGAGCTATAGCTCAAAAGGCATGGATGGTCGACTATCAATGTTCAAGGGTAAATCAGTCATTTACAAGGACGGCAAGCCCGGAATCCGAGAATTCGATGGGACCTGGCGGCGGATTTGGTTCCCAGATGGTCCTCCTGCATTCTCAGCGGATACAGAATTGCCCCCTGAGATGTACGACGACAAGTCCAAGGCTCAGTGGATGGCCTTCGCACAGACCGGGACCTTTGAGGGTGGTCTGATGCCCGAACTACCGCCTCCGAGAGAAAGTACACTATGGGACTTCTAGCCAAGGAGTCAAGTCGAGTCAGTTTACAGCTTGTTTTACATATGATGTGGAGATGAAGAGTCGAGGAGGAATAGATGGCGTTAGACGATTCAGGAGAATGCATTAATTGGCGTTGTGTATAATCATTGGGGTTGCTTGGATGCATAATCTACCTACCTAGACAGTAAAAGAAACAACTCCACGAGACAAGCAAATTGAAGGATGGTATGGCATGATGGTTTCATTGAATGCTAGAGATCTTGCAAAGATAGGTGTGTCCACAACGTCCATATCAATCAACCTCATCAGTGAAATCATCTGAAGATATTTATTTGCTTAGGTAGTGTTTGCCTTGTAGCACAAACTACTAACCTTTACCAGGGCAGCTCTCGGGTAAAGAGGCACTAGTCCAGGAGCACTTAAGCGCTTCCATAATCAGAGCCATTGATTGGCCTGAGCAGTAGAAAAGTATCTTTGTACCTCCTCCTCCAGGTTGACTTCATCAGCTTGCAGCAGTGAGAATCCACTTTCTGATGAATCATCCGGCGATGCAAACGCAGGCTTGATCCACGATATTTATGAAGGTCATGAGCGGCGGTTTATAAGATCGACTCATCCCTCTCTTTGAATCATCTCCAAGCCCAAAATTACACTCATTTCAGCGCACAAAACCAGAAGTTTACCTCGCCCACAGAGTCACACAACCATGGTCCCTTTACCACCCCTCGCACCGTTCCCCCAGTCATCATGGCGACAGCATCTCTCATCCAGCGAATGGAATACACTTCTAAAATCCTGGACATCTATTTGCCGTGCCATTTCGTCCCTTTCTGAGAAGGACATAAAGGCAGCCTTGGCACGCGACGACTCCATTGCAACATTCCTAGTCTCCTTCGCAGAGCAGACAGCAGAGGCAGGCTTCACAATACTAGAGTCTCACTCGACAACACTTCCAAAAGCCGTATTTCAGCTCGTGTTGAGAGTCTTCAATGTATCTCCGCCTCCCCAACTATTCGATTATGCGTTCTTGGCAAATGTCGCAAGGATATTCCCCAGGAAAGCAACTGCTCCTTTCATGGCACAGCTCTTTCAGCGACATGCTGCTGCGCTTGAGGCTGCATTGACTGCCCTGAAGAAGAAACTTATTCCAGAGTTGGAGGCTGGCATCAAGGGCGATTTGAAGAGCGTCGAAACTCGCTTGATACGACTGAATTATCTTCTACATGCTTCGTCGGATACCTGCACTTTATTCCTTGCGGGATCTGATTTCCTCGATGGCCTCATCGTGTGCTTTCGCGTCATGAATCCTCCTCTTCGCAAAGTGATATTGACCACGACGTATCTATGTCTGGTAGGATTGATAGATACTGAACCAGCCAAATGGTCGATGTTGAGTGATCAACTATACGCCCTCAAGGAAGCGGCTGATGCCCACAAGGCTGGCCCTCTCAATGTCAACGACTCACTTGTCCCTGAGCTCATCACCAACACCCCACTCTTGAAGATGTTACTACGGAGGGCGGAGGATACTGGCGCGGCGACCGAAAATTTCAAGAAGCGAATTACGGCCTTGGAGGGCTACAGAAAGGGAACCATGGTCCGTCCCAAACGACTTATAAGAAGGAGATTGGATAAAGGCAAAGGCAAAATATCACAGCAAGAAGTGAATCCCGACATTCATGTTCATAAGATGAGCCAAATCACTCAGGTCCAGGATTTGTTTCCCGATTTAGGATCCGGCTTTGTGTCCAAATGTCTCGATGAATACGGAGAAGACGTGGAGCAGGTTGTTGCCAATTTGCTAAGTGAGACTCTGCCGCCTCACTTGGCTAATGCTGACCGCAGTGAGTCCTTGTATGTCATAACAGTCTGCCTATTCTCAAATCGCGATTATTTGTTAATCCATCACTAGGTCATCACACCCTGAAGCAGGACACACAGAGCTTGCACCACGACCTACTCCGCCTCAGATTCCTACACGGCACAATGTTTTTGACGACGATGATTTCGACCGCCTTGCCATGGACGTTTCGAAGATTTCATTTGGAAAGAAACCAGGCAAGAACGCCGATGAAATGCTCAAAGATAAAGCAAACGCGCCTAACAAATCAGCCATTCTCTCTGCCCTCGCGGCATTCGATTCTGATGATGACGAACGTGATGATACTTATGATGCTGACGATGTGGGTGGCACTGTTGACGCCTCCAATCAGGAGGCCGATGCAGCGAGCGACAGCAACGAGGAGGCACTGTTCCGTGCGTACCAGATGGACTCAAAGCTGTTTGACCGTGATGCTGGCACAAGGCGAGGGAACCCGCGAGCCAAACTGCGGGAAGAAACTGGAATGACAGATGAAGCCATAGAGGGATGGGCCCTCATCTTAGTCAGGAACCCCCAACAGAAGCGACGATTGGAGGCCAAATATGCCTTTAGTGGACAACAAGCGCAAATAGAACGCACATCTTGGCGAGCATCTCCAGCGGGCTCGGGAGAAGAAGGAAGCGAACCTGACGGCGGATCATCGAGGGGTGGCCGAGGTGGTGGCCGAGGACGAGGACGAGGGCGAGGTCGCGGAAGAAGCGGCAATGTTGCGGGGCCTACAGGTGAGAAGGAGACAGAAAATGCTAGGAAGAATAAGGAAGCGAATAAGGGGTCTCGGGCGAACCACAATAGACGCGATGCTCGAGCAAAGAAGATGGCACGAGGAGGTTTCGCTGGTTGATCAATCACCAGTTCTCTGCTTCTTCCATCTACCAGGAGCCGGCGCCGCAGCTAGATAAGATGTTCTTCTCTTTCGAGCCTGAGTTGGCGCAGTTGCTTCTGGCCCATACAGATCACCAAGATCCAGCTCGGTAGCATAGGGGCTCTTCATATCGGCTATCATGGGAGTGCCGGGATAACCACTTGGCCCTGCTGGAGAGACAATGCCGCTGAGAGACGCCAGAGTTTCTTCGATGCCCGAGTAGCGGTGGTAATCCTTTGGTGTAGCTAGCTCTGAGACAGCCTCAATAGAGGTCAGATCCTGGTCGCCATCACCTGTACCCATTATCATGCTTTGGAGCGACATCCGCGAGCTCCTCCTGCTACTATTGAGGTATACCCGTAGATCAAAGCACTGACGACATGATGGATGTAGCGGAAAGCAGTTTGCTTCATCACGATGCTGCGGAAGTTGAGGGCGTGACTGCTGCCCACACTTTTCCTGAATATCGTCGAAAATGTCTGCGATGGGAGTGAAATAAGTGACACGTTGTCCGGGGCCCCAATAGTTATTGCGACCCCAGATTTGACCGATTAGACCATGCGTATTGGCGTCAACAACCCCAGCACCACTGTCGCCGTTAACACCAATGCCTCCGCGTATCCAAGCATCCTCATCCTCTTGCGGCCATGGTTCCTCAATAAACCATTCTCTCGTAGCCTTCTGCGTCTGGTTCTCCACCCCAGAGACATACGCAGGGATCTCGCAAATCTGGCCGCGCTGATAACCAGATGTTCGACCGCTAGACAGAACATCTGCACCTGACACAATAGCGGCTGTAGTAGCTATGGTTGGTTCCTGAGTTGGGGGCTGGGTTTCTGAGGGGAATTTGCGAAGGATGTTTGCTTGTGAAGTACGGGCACCGATGAGAGCCCAGTCTGTTACGACAAGGGGCTTATCCATATCACACTCATCCCAATAAGGATCATGTGAAATTCTTGTTGTCTTGAGGTTCAGACCTGACGTGACCTCTAGCCTACCGAGCCTGAAGTTCGTCTCCTGGGCCATGGCATCATGTCCCTCGTCTATGCATCGCTTGCGATCTTGGGAAGATGGATGCTCAACCTCCACTTGAGCGAGCTGTTGGTAGGCCTCCATGAAGGGATGAAAGTTGCCCAACCAATAACTCCCACCACCAACGGTGACGCAAGGACCAAGAGTGGCAGTGCTATCTTCAAATATCCCATTTCCTGTAACACCGATACTGTCACCCATGCAAGGATCGCGGAAGAAGTAAGGGTTTCTTGCGGCACAAATATCATCCTTGTGATCTTTGCCTAGGCCACGAGCCCAGGTAACAGTGCGATTGATCTCCCCTTGCGCAAAAGCAAATGTGACTAGCTTGGAAAAGTTGCTGGGAATAAGATCTTGAACGTGGCTAACAATGATGATCTTTCGAGCACGAGAAATAGTTTTTGGAGCCATGATGCAAATTCGCTTCATCTGTGGGGATTTGCCTCGAGTGACAGTGACTACGTGACGCGGCCCAACCCAGATAGGCAAATATTGCGAAAGAAATGGGAGAATAGCGTGTTCGAAGACCAGGGGAAAGCTCGTTACTTCTATACACCGCGAGACTCGCCCTCTGATAAGGTCTGTTGGACTTTCTGCACTTCGTGGAGTGCCTTTGATAGTCAGTCTATGAGCTACCAAGATAAAGGAGACTTGACGACCTTACCGGCATTCTTTCTAGCTCGCTTCTCAATGACGACCTGTAGACGATCTTGACATTGACGCTTCGTCTTTACCACATCCATAGATATATCTGTGTCATGGACTCTGTTCTTTCTTTTGAGAGACGCAAGAGTAGTGGTGGACTTTTCACTTGACGATGGCCTGTTGCCCGTCTCTATGCTAGCATTAGTTTTTGCAGGAAGCTCCCATTCCTTTGCATCATCTCTACCATCCTCGGGGTGAGCCATGGCTATGTGGGATTGAAGAAGACGAATACTCTGGAATTTCGTCTCTGTGCAACCGGGTGATGGACAAATGACAAGATGTTTGACTTTGACATGGTAGATAAGTCCGTCCCTGGTGGAAAAGCTCGGCTGAGCACAGCCAGCCCAGTTACACAGATAGGTATGACAAGATTTGACGTGGGATTTGAGGTCCTTGTCAGACGAGAAAGCTCGTTGGCATTGAGGGCCAAGGCAGACGAAAGAAGGCGTCGAATTATCAGTGCTGTTAGTTCGCCCACCTCGACTAAGTGGACTCGGACCTCTTGAGCGGCCTCTACCGTTACGTATGGTCATTGCATCA